CCTTTGTGGATGTGTTTGTGGTCGTTCGGTGTATGATGGAACATCGTCTAACCACTGGCGTATCTGATCATCAAGGATGATATCTTCGCGCTCATCTGGAGTGTACTTTCTTCGTAGTTGATTTGCGTGTCTGATCCACTTTTCTGTTCCTACTTGCAGTTCGCACACAACTTATCCTCGTTTTCCTGTTATAGTTCCTGAAGTCCATGTTTGACGAAGTCTTTTGCATACACTTTATCACCAACATTGAATCCCCGTTTTGGTTGACTTTTGAACTTCCATTGGTGCCATACAACGATCGTTTTCGGGTAGTTTAGGTAGCATCGTTTATTATTTTGTCCTTATTTTCCTCCCCAACAAGCATTCAATAGGTGATACAGCACTTGGCGCGTTTTCATTTGGAGTGATTCTGTAGTTCATCAAAAATAGGTCAATAATACTGTCTAACTGCTGGTTCTCCGGATATTTTCGTATGTGTTTTCAAAGTGTCCACAAATCGCTCAACTTGGCCGTTTGATTGTGGATGATACGGCGGGGTTTGTATGTGTAAAATGCCATTGGATGAACAAAATTCGAAAAATTCGTGGGCTGTAAACTGGACACCGTTATCTGAAACGAGGACCTCTGGGAAACTCAATCTACAAAATGTGCTTCTAAGAAAGCGGATTGTCGACTGGCTATTAGGGTGTTTTATAATGCCAATTTCTGGCCACTTGGATGTAGAATCAACGGCAAGCAACAAATAGACGTCACGAATCGGCTCAGTAAAATCAATATGGACGCGGGTCCATGGTTTTCGTGCAAACGGCCATGATTGCGGTTCAACTTGTGGAGCTGATTTCAAAGTCATTGCGCATTGGCTGCACTCTCTAATCAGCTCTTGAATGTCCTGATCCATAAAAGGCCAATAAACATAACTACGCATGAGGGATTTCATCTTGTTTAGCCCCGGATGTGCCTCATGGAACTGTTTCAATACATCCGTTTTCAGTGATGTTGGTATGACTATTCTCTCTCCAAAAACAAGACAGTCATTTATAATTGACAGAGAATAGCGTCGTGTAAAAAACTCTCCAATTGGCGGTTCATAAATTCTCTTTGGCCATCCATAATTCATGAAGTTCTTAATGTCGTTGATAACCTTGTCAGTGTTGGTGGCTTGCTTGATTACATCTGCAGTTATTCTCAAGCAGGAGATTGCATTTATGAGTACATGTTGAACTTCTGTTTCAGCATCAACGGATGCAATAACCTGTTCTTCGTTGGATTTTTTCTGTGAAGCTATTAAACGGGACAATGCATCAGCATGCCCAATCTCTGAGGATGATTTATGTTCAATCTCAAAATTATACCTCAGTAAGATCGTTCGTTGCCTACCTTTGTAGTCGGTTAGCGGTGTGCGCAGGTATACCCTTTTTGTTGTTAAACATGGCCAGAAGCGGGTTGTGATCGGTTTGGCGAATAAACTTTCTTCCGAGGATCATTTTATGGAACTTGTGTATCGCAAAAATAATCGCCAAAGCCTCTTTCTCAAGTTGACTGTAATGGCGTTCCGCAGGTGTTAACGATCAGGAGGCGTGTGAGATAGCTTGCTGTGAGCCGTCTGCTAACTGATGTAGGATGACTGCTCCTATACCATGGTCCGAAGCATCCGCTGCTACAATAATGTCAAGTGATGGGTCGTAATATGTTAACAATAAAGAGGATAGTAAAATCTTTTTGACTGATTCAAAAGCATGTTGACATTCCTGTTCTAATTCCACTTGGTTGAAGGAGAAAGTAAGTTGTTTAAGGGGGCTCGGAATATGTGCATATCAGGTACAAATTGATTGTAATAGCTGATCATGCCTAAAAATGACAGAAGCGTAGGAATTTCAGTGGGTGTTGGCATGTCACAAATTGGTTTAACTTATTCTGGGTCTGGCTGTCTGCCAGTAGCGTCAACAATAAATCCTAGATGCTTAAAAGAGTTTGAAAAGAAAAGAACATTTTTCTGTGTGGATTTGAAATCCAAATTGTTGTATGCGAGTTAATACCTGACTCAGATGGTGGAGGTGTTCATGAGCATCAGTGCTAACAATGATGATGTCGTCCATATAAGCGGCGGCGAAGGGTAATCCAGCTAACATAGTGTCCACTATCTGCTGAAATATGGCAGGTGCACACTTAACACCAAAGGGTAGTCTGTTATAGTGATGTAGGCCTTTATGAGTATTTATAGTCAATAAATGTTTTAATTCCTCGTCGACTTCAACTTGCAAATAAGCTTCATAAAAGTCAATCTTTGAAAATATTCTTCCGCCTGAACAGATCCTCAGGTACAGGAAGAGGGTACTGATGTATCTCCAACGAATCATTTAAACCTGTTGAAAAGTCTGCACAGATGCGAAACGTACCGTTGGGTTTCTTCACAACTACTATTGGTGCTGCCCATTCTGAATAGTTTACTGGACTGATGACCCCAGCTGTTTGAAGCCGATTTAACTTATTACTGACCTGGTCCACCGCGG